TATATCGAGTCTCTAAGAGCGGTATATAGAGAAAATAAGGGGTATGGGTGTGTGTGTGTGCTTGTAAGTGTGAACGAAGACAACACATCCACGTCACCATCCTGCAAATGAATATAAGAGCAGCATGCTTACTGACACCCGCACAAGCTATTCTCATCTTTGCTGCAAGTAATATCATTGTTAAGAAGAAACTCATATAATTTATTTTAAAATTGATCAAATTAAAGAAAGTTCATTCATTCAACTTGTCGATTCAAACAATGAATGCGCTTCGTCTCAATTGTACGTATTCGGGTTACAGCAGTGGTTACTGTCGCATCTAAAATAAGATTTCGGTTCGTGATTCGTCGATATATATTATTCATTGTTCTGAGTAATTCGTGACGAAAGATGCGCGCTGAAAAAGTATACACGAAAAAGCCGAATGCATGCGAACCATATGATAAGATACGTAGAGTTCCTGCACATAAATTATCCTGTGCAATTTGTAGGGGAGATTTTTTCACACTCATCGTGAATGTGTTATATAATTTTTGACCAGCAAATGGAGCAGTGAAGACGATGATCAAAGCCACTTGCATGAGAAGCATTGCCAACAACTGATGGTCGCGTCGTACAGTGCTTTTGGTAGATTGTGTATCACTCGATAAAACCTGCCGGTGAGTTTGTCGAAGATTGCGAAGTGTAGCTAAACCAAATATTAACATTGTTAGAGCTGGCGCTAACACATAAAAAACAAGATATTGAAGATCCGAAAAGATACGATAGGGTCCCGATTGTGCGTAGCATGTAATTGAACTAGAACTTTTCTGAACACCAAAGTAAATGAGCACATTAGAGAATGATACGATGCATATGATGGTAGTTATTACAATGACTGTTCGAGCGAATGGTACATTGTTAAAGCGTCGCTGTATTTTTATGCTTGATGCCCACCGATCAATACAGGCCAATAAGATGAACCATGTTGAGAGTGTTCGTGGAACATATGTAAGAAAATATCTCATTTTACAAAAAACATCCGATGTAATACTGGGATCAATTTTATAGCCGTCGGAAAAGATTCGTGTAATAACAACCCAATAGAGTATAATAAAGTTGGCTACTGTATTTCCCAAAAGATAATGCGTGCATGAATTGGTAACAAGACTTCGACGAGTGAATATTATAATATTTAAAATCACACCAATCGTACCGAGTATGAGAAATGGCAATGGGAGATAGCGATTCAACTGTACATTCATACTGTTAAGCAAAGCAATCGTATTTGATGATGTTGAATTTGACGACATGACTTGCAACGTTCTAAATGAAATCCCAGCGAATATACTGATGCATTTATTCAGCCATCATTTCTCATTTTCTTTAATTTATTATTGTCTACTAAAATAATCACTGAGACAGAAGAGCCATTCAAGGTCACTCTTAACAAAAAGAAGTCATATTTAATGACTAAGTTGATACAATAATCACACAATGGACGTGCATGACAGTGATGTCAGACTATACTTAGAAGTCGTATGAATACAATAACGTGCATTTTTTTATTTTTATGCGAAAAAGAAATGAAATGAGTAATTATTCATTTCATCCTTCAGTTCACTAGAAAAAAAATTTCTGCATGCAGAGATTAATGAAGAGCATTCTCCGGAAAACTTCAATTCTTTTACATTTTCAGGTGTGTCACATACAGATTAATGTTTTCTAGGTCTACTCTGAAGTTTCAGTTTAATCGGGTGGCGTCAGAACTGTTTGTCTCATATCTTAGCTTTTCAAAAGAGATATATTTTAATTAAGCGTTCGTCTATTTAAAAAAAATGCTTTTGTGCATTCGTGTTTCTTATGTAGCTAGTCATTTAAAATACTTAACAGCTACTTATTTCCATAGAATATAATTTCATGAGTAGTTATTTTATCTCCGGCACTATTTAAAAATATTGAGTGCTAGTGAATAAATCGTCATAGCTATTGAAATATCAATATTGATACTAAAGTAAGTGTTAGCTATGCACTTAACTTTACTGATTATTTTCGAGCAGTGGTTTGTGAAATTAAGTGAATATCTTGTTGATTAGCTGCTTGATCTACAACACTATTTAAACATATTCAGCAATACGGAATTAACTTTCATAGCTGTTTTTAAATGCTTGTTAAAAGATTTAATAATGATTGAAAAAAATGTATACACCTATTAAATGATTGAAACAGCCGAGACGTTTCTAACAGGAAGTTGCATTTTCTTTCTCATGTGACCTATTATTTTACATCCGCATATTTTTTTCCTTGAATAGTTATAAAATCTTTTAAATATATACGACAATTTTTTCATGACACTCGATTTGAAAAGTACATCACAACGATGTAGAATATTATACCAAATGCTATTACATACGAAGTAGCAATTTAAATCATTCAATATTTGTTTACCTTTTTTCTAATTTGTTATCGAATGCATTTACAAAGGTATAAATAGTTAGTTGATTAACATGGGTCGAATCATACGATTATTTCTTAACTCAATCAAATGAGTACGATATGCTGAACAACATAAATGAAAAAATTTTTTTTAGATATCATCAAGATTTAAATCTGATAGCACGTAATCTAGGCAATATATTGCTTATAAATGATTCGATCTTGGTTTCAAAGCTACCAATAAGCTTAAAACAAACAATACTGAACATCTTTAAATAATGCTGAAGATTAAATAGCAACTATTGGAATCATATTCTTTGTAAAAAGAAATAGCTAAGAATTATTTAAAATGCTATTAAAATTCAAAAAGTTATGAATTACACAAAGTCTACCCTATAGAAAAGAATGGTATCTCTTTTAAAAATGAACCCTTTGAATCTTTGTTAAGCATCTATCTATCAAGCTTGAATTAATTCCTAGAAGAGTAAAAAAGAGTGCCATCATATTCAGAACAGAAAAAAAATGGTGAGTTGCAAGTTAAGAAAGTATCTATTAGCTATTCTGAGGGTGTGGGTGTGGGTGTGGACCTTCTCTTCATTCATATCCAGCACGTCACACCCCATAACTACTCCCGCAAAAGTTTTACATCTTCTCCAACCTTCCAAAGTTTCAAGGGTCGCGTCATCTCCATGGGTCTGTTTCGTGTAGATATAGAAACTCGCCCAGAGATGTTGACAAAATTATTACTGAGTTTCTTCGATTTAAGCATCGTGTTGATTTTTATGTGTAACTTAATGATTTTTGACAAGATTATTGCGTTTTATTTGTTGCATTAGAAATTGTTAATACAAGTGCTATATTTTGTCTAATAGAACTCATAGTGCCTTTGAATTTTTACTGAGTAAAAAAACGAATACTATTTTATGGATACACGAAAAATCTCACTCCGCATCCCCCCCTCCCCTCCACCTTCAAAAATTCTAGATCCGTCACTGTTTAGAAATGAAACTCATCAGTCGTATTGTTCGACACAAAGTCAGTATGATTTTAAAAGAAAGCACATAAAAAAGCTAAACTCTGAAAGAAACACTAATATTGTTGAACTTTTTTTCAGGTGTGAAGATAAAATAGTTGTCTGTTCAATTTTCTTTTCTTCTTTCATCTCTGTTTAATTATGAATCAAAAACGTAATAAAGCGCTTATTTTAAACAATTATTTGCATTATTCAAGTCGACTATCGAGCCAATTCATGATCAAGCTTGAAGTCATCAATTTGACTGAACTAAGCATTTGATTATTCACACTTTACTTGTTAAAGTAAAGAACTCATATTGGTTATTCTTTCATTTTACAAGCGCGAGTAAAAACAAAATAAACTGACTGTTGTGGATATTCAAANTAAATGAATCCTTTACTTTTAAAAAATAAAGGTAAATAAATCCTTTATTTTTAAAAATAAAGATAAATGATCATTTATTTTTAAAAAATAAAGTTAATTAAATAAAGGAATACTTTATTTTAAAAAAAATAAATGTAAATGAATCATTTATCTTTAAAAAATTAAAGAAAAACAAAGGAATAAATGATACTTTTTACGAAGACAGATAATGTAATTAGAAAAGCACTGGAATCATGGAATAAATCTACAGAGAGATTAGTACTGTTTACAAATGTAATTTGATTTAAAATACACTTTCTAAGATGAAATTCAAAAATAACAGAAATGAAAGCTTTATTTCTGATTTTTTAGAGTAGTAAGAAAGAGGAAAATCTTCTTCTAACATTCTAATGTGATCAAAAGCTTTCTACGTATTCGGGCATGTTTGTGAACCTTTATTTCAGAATCATAGAATGTCTCCATTGAATCGATGATCACTGAATCTTCGTATTTCTAAATAGAATTTCTGTATAATTTTGAATTTCACTTTTATTTATCTACAACCTTGCCCAAGATACTCTATATTTTACTACCTTTCTCAAAACAGTTGGTCAATAGAAGTTGGGGAACGTTTTTTTTTCAAATAATTATCAAATAGGTGGTTTTATTTTCACAAGCAATAAGTTCTTACGTCAAGTACTGGAAAAAATCTTGATGATGCACACACAGACATAAGAAAGGAAGACATAAAATAAGGAAACGAATACAAAACAGAATATAACACACAAATATGTTTAATAATAGTAAAAAGTTACTTTTAACTACAAAAATTTTCATGCAAACTTCAAATTCAAACTCAGTTCTCAAAAACTGTTTAGGAAAAAGTTGAATCTACATTCACGAATCAAAAAATATCCTAGTCGCATTGTGGAAATCGAATCGTTTCCAAATAGCAACTGTCTACAGAGCATCTTGTTTACTTTACATTAGGTATGGCACGAAGCACATGTTGACTCTGTATATCCTTATTTAGTTGAAGAGATTTTTGTGAAAAAAAGCATTTTGATCATTGAAGAAGCTCGCGAAAGATAATTCTTGAAGAATATCAATTCTATGAGAGTATGGTCTCCATGATTGAATACTTTAATTAAGAAAAGAAACTCTTCAGCCAAATACAGATATAAGAATTTAACCTATGCATTCTGTCCTACTTACTGAAAAACATGCAAGTTGACCAATATAAAGCTGATCTATGAAAACGATTTGATCGTCGAATCTTAATTTCNTCAGCCACATAGACAGTGCCCAATTGATCGACAACGACTCCTTGAGGATAATACAATTGTGTAAGACCATTTCCTTGTCCTTGACCACCAGCCACGACAATGCCTTGTTTTGCACCTTCCACCCATTTCATCACACGATCATTTTCCCAATCAGACACGTATACTGAATGATCTCGATCGACGAATACGTAATGTGGGCGAGAGAGTTGATCGAGACGATTTCCACTTCCATTGCCACCTGCAACCACTGTTCCTTGAGATTCTCCTCTTTGATATCGTCTCACTTCATGTTTTCCAATGTCAATGACATAGAGAGATCCATTCTCGTCCATTGTCAAACCCCAACAATCGATGTTGGAGATGATTGTTTCTCCACTTGTCCCATTTCGACGAGGCCATCGAACCACTCTTCGATTCGAATAATCGCATATGATGAGACTCTCTCTCTCTTTGTCGACAATCACATCATATGGGTAAGACAACTGATGAGCCCCACTTCCTTGTCCATTTCCACCGGCAACCACTTGGCCACTCGTCGCACCCCATTTCCATTCCACAATACGATGATTCGATGTATCAGCGACATAGACAGTTTGATCATCATCAACATACAAACCCCATGGGTAAGAGAGTTGATTGATTCCATTGCCTTGTCGATTTCCTCCAGCCACAGTGATACCATTCTGTTGCCATCGAGCATTTGGATGAATGTTGGTGCTGGACGGCGAACGTAATGGGCTGTCTGGAATAGAGACGAAAAAAATTTCTTTTTATGGAAATCGAATTTGTTACAAGACAAGAAATCATTTTTAGTCAAATTCTCAACTTTGTAAACAACGATTGTTTTGTTTTAACCATTTTGTTCAATTTTTTTTTGCATTGCAATTTCTTTGGTTAACCACTCGTTATTCCTTCATTTTTCTCTCTAATACAATCTTTCTTATTCTTGTGTTCCAATTCAAATTAATAAGACTCTTAGACAAGTGGCAATGACAGAACATCGCTGATATCTTACTTGAGCATAAATTACGATATAATACGTATTTATGCTCATAATCGATTTTCAAGTAGAATGAAAAAAGAAGAATCTTTTAATGGAAACTGAATATTTACTGTTTAGACAGTGTTCAGTGATAGACTTATCTGTAATAGCTGTGCACAGTTCTTTCTCTCTTTACTTCATTCACTATATATATTCTTAAAGTCAGTGTCTGTTTCAAACTTTTTAATTGAGATGACAGTTTCCAAATTTGACATTGTGGCAAGACTGGCTTTATCAAAAGTTACGGCGACAAAAACCTATGAATAAAAAAAGGGTGAAATTCTGTTTTGGAATTGCCGTTGTTCTTTCAAAAGTTACACTTTTTCGGCGAAAAAATTTCAGATTCGTAGAAAATTCAAAATTTTGAGTTAGAAAAGATATTTTAAACCAAACTTGATCAAATAAATATCCTATGAGGGTCTCATCAATGAAAGAGTGTGGGTGTTGATCATTGAGGAGGATCATACCTATGCCCGCACCCACACTTTTATAGTAACATGCCCACGATGCAAAAAGATTGCCTTTATGATGGAATTGAAATACAACAGGGCAACGAAAATGAAAAAAGGAAAGAGCCTCCATTAGGCTTGAAACGACATCCTACAAATCACAGTCAAATCAATTTTGATCAATATACAGATGAATGTCCAGATGATGAACTTGATTTTCAACTAATTAATTACAACAGGCAGAGAAAGAAACGGTCGACAACTAATAAATATGATAGAGTTCAAGCTATGGGTGGCACTTTACTTTTACTTTATAAAATAAAGATATATGATCATTTATTTTTAAAAAATAAAAGAAAAATAAAGGAATAAATGATACTTTTTACGACAGATAATGTGATTGGAAGAGCACTAGAATCATGAAATAAGTCTGCAGAGAGATTATTACCATTTAAAAATGTAACTTGATTAAAAATGCTCTTCCTAAGATGAAATTCAAAAATAACAGAAGTGAAAGCTTTATTTCTGACTTTTTAGGCTAGTAAAAAAGAGAAAAATCTTCTGATACATTCTAATGTGATCAAAAGCTTCATATATATTTATTCAAACATCTTTGTGAAGCTTTATTTCAGAATCATAGAATGTCTCAATTGAATAGATTATCACTCACTCTTCATATTTCTAAATAGAATTTCCTTATAATTTTGAATTTTACTTCTAATTATCTACAACCTTCCCCAAGATAGTCTATATTTTTCTGTTTTTCTCAAAACAGTTGGTCAATATAAGTTGTAGAACGTTCGTTTTCAAATAAGTATCAAATAGATAATTTTATTTTCACAAGGAGCAATTCTTTTTTCCAGTTACTGGAAAAAATCCTAATGATGTGCACACAGACATAGGAAGAGAAGACACAAAATAAGGAAACGAAAACAAAAAACAGAAAATAACATACACACATAAGCTGCAATGAGCATAGTTTTTCATATGATTTAATTTCAAGTGTATCTACGTAGAAAAAAAGCTTTTTTGGCAGGCACTATTTGCCAGTGATACATTCATTCTCTATAGTATATCTCAATGAAAATTTAACATGATAATTTGAATAGAACGTGAACTAGTTTAGTAATAGTATACAATAACTTTTTACCTCCAAAAATTTTCATACGAACTTCAAATTCAATTACTGTTCTCTGAAAGTGTTTAGAAAAAAGTTGAATCCATATTCACGAATAAAAGAAAAGCAAGCCAAATTTTGGAAATCGAATCGTTTCCAAATAGCAACTATCTACAGAGCAACTTGTTTACTTTACAGTAGATAGGGCACGAAGCACATGTTAACTCTCTATATCTGTATTTGGTTGAAGAGTTTTTTGTGAAATAAAGTATTAGATCACTGGGAGAATCTCGCGAAAGATAATTTTTGAAGAATATCGATTCTACGAGAGTATTGTCTCAATGATCGAATACTTTGGTTAAGAAAAGATATTCTTCAGCCCTATACGGATATAAGGAGTTGACCTGTGCATCCTGTTCTACCTACTGCAAAATAGGCAAGTTGGTCAATATAAAGCTGATCTATGAAAACGATCCGATTGGCGAATCTTAATTTGTGTTGTATTATATTCGTGTGCACAGACTCGAGTTTTCTTAAAGCATTTTCGAAAAAAACGTAATTTCATTTGAAAACCATATGAAAATCTTCTCGGACAAAAAAAATATATCGTAGCCTATTGTAAGACTAGTTCAAGTAGTATTGAACTTTGTATGTTAAATTTTCATTTAGATGCTCTATAAACAATGTATGTACTATCAATAAAAAGTTTCAGTCATTCTATTCTTCTTTTTTTCTCTCACGAAAGATAATTCTCATTTTTTTAACAACATGAGATATCTTGAGTGTAGTTGGTGATAGAGAAGACCGTTGTTTGCGGTGAACATAGCCAGCGACGGAGAAAGTTGATTCAGAGGCGACTGACGTCGCTAGAATAATACTATAACGCCTTAAAAATGATGTTAAAATTGGTAACATATGTTGCTTTTGATTCCAAAAT